CGAGGAATTAGCATTTTAACTGTCACCCCAGAAGCCCAGAAGCTCTTGATATTAGGGATCCGTGGGCAATGCTTTGACAAATACTGAGTCTTTAGGTGATCACGTTGCAGTCGTGTACATGAGCACCCATGTGCATTAACTCTGAGCCTGTGTGTGTGTGTGTGTGTGCATGTGTGTGTGTGTGTGTGTGTGTAGTTCTAGGAGGATGGTCATTAAAATGGCAATACTGGTGATCTCTGGGTGTAATGATTTCACGAGATTTGAGATATATTTCTCTATGCTTTTCTTTCTTCCTTTCTTTCTTTCCCTGCTCCGTACAGCTTGCGGGATCTTAGTTTCCCAGCCAGTGATCAAACCTGGGTCACAGCAGTGAAAGTGCCAAGTCCTGTAACCACTGGACTGCCAGGGAATTCCCTCTCTATGCTTTTCTATATTTTACGTTTTTATGATGAGCATATTATTTTCATCAACAGATAAAGCCATCAAGGCTTTCCCATGGGCGGGGAAGAGCAGACTATTATAGAGGAAATATTATATAGGAAGTAGGTTTGAGGGAAATGTGGACCTACGGAAAGACAGCCACAGATGTAAATGAGTCTATTATTATTATTATTTTTTTTTTTGCGGTACGCAGGCCTCTCACTGTTGTGGCCTCTCCCATCGTGGAGCACAGGCTCCGGACGCGCAGGCTCAGCGGCCATGGCTCAGGGGCCCAGCCGCTCCGCGGCACGTGGGATCTTCCCGGACCGGGGCACGAATCCGTGTCTCCCGCATCGGCAGGCGGACTCTCAACCACTGCGCCACAAGGGAAGCCCCTAAATGAGTCTATTTTAACTCCCAGAGCTAGTATCCCTTTTCCTGTGGCTTCCAACCCCTGAGCCTGCCATTGAGAAGGAAGGAATGTCACACCTCCTGTTTTCAAATTGCCTGTTCTAGGCAAAGCCGGGGCCAAAGTCATGCCTTGGAATTTGGGATGGTGGAGTTGAGCCAGAGGGCTGGGCCGCCCCTTCTGTGCGTCCCCGGCGTCCCGGGCCTGGCAGCCCCTTCCCGCCTCCACCCGACCTGGTGCTCGAGCACCCTGGCCGGCCAGGCAGAGCTGGGATGGCGATTTTACAGCGCTGTTACTACTCCGTTGTTGCCCAGTAAACCCACACCAGGCCCCACAAACACTCCTCAAGAAGGCCAGACCCTTCCTGAGAAATGGTTTCCTACACCTTTACAGCGTGATAGGTGCCGTGGACAAAAGGGGCGGTTGGGTTTATGGAGACTATATAACGTTTATAGAGTCTTGGCAGGGCCAGAAGTAGAAAAGGCCTGTGGGATGGGGGTGGGTATTTGGAAATGCAGAAGGCCTGGAAAGGGCAGCCGACCTTTGTGTGGAGACACCAGATAAAATACCCCAAGGGCATGCGGTGTGCCATGGGGCTGGGGGAAAGGTGGCCCTTCCGGAACAGCTGTTGGGAATGCCTTTCTGGCGGATCCCTTTTGATCTTCACAGCATTCCTGTGAGGGAGGCAGGGTTCTGACTTTCACCAAGGTCAGCTCATGGTCTAATGGTGTGTGGCTCCCAGGTGGGCCTCCTGGGGCAGGCTAAATTCTCGCATTCTCTCTCTCTCCTGTGTATTGAGCGGCGTGTCCTAGTTTCAGGAACAGAAAATATGGTCTCCGTACCCTATTTCTGTTTGGGACTCATCTGCTATTTGTGACCTAGTCTCACAGTCCCCTGGTGTCTTCGGTCATCACCTTGCCCTCCTATGGCTCCACTGTGCTCTTGAAGCTGATTTGTGCCCCGATTCACCCACTGGCCTTGGCTGGAATGGAAGTGAAGCCACCCAGAGGTTGGCTGTGGATCAGGGCAGGGCTAAAATGCTGTCTTTGCCTTTCAGGATCCCTCCGTGTCCCAATGCTATGGGGGGGATCATCTCAGGGCCTCCAGAGGAGTCCCCCGTGGAGTCTGAAATCACCTCCTCCTATCCCATCAGCTATTGAAATTTGTAATTCATTTCTCCTTGTTTATGTGCCTTGCGGCATCCATGTTTTCTCTCTCCTACTTGGCTGTGAATTCTTGGAGTGCAAGATTCCATGAATGCTTAATTCTTCATTTCTGATTTTGCCCACAGGGTTGGGCATAGTTCCCAGCAAGTAGTAATCATTGAGTAAGTATCAGCTGGGAGGCCGGCTGAATGGATGGATGGATGGATGGATGGATGGATGGATGGATGGATGGATGGACTAATGAGTGGGTGGATGGATGGATGGACTAATGGGTGGATGGATGGATGGATAGATGGATGGATGGAAGGACTAATGGGTGGGTGGATGGATGGACTAATGGGGTGGATGGATGGATAGATGGATGGATGGAAGGACTAATGGGTGGGTGGATGGGTGAGTGGATAGACAGATAGGTGGCTCAGTGGGCAGATAGATGAGACATGTGTAGACTAACAGACACCCACTTCCTCATTTGCACCCACTTCCTCATTTGCACCCTTCTGCACAGTTAAACTAACAGCCTACGCCTGGTTCTCTTAGGCTTTCACTGAATGCACTTTTGTTTCAGGAGACAGACTTTGCTCTCTCTGAAGCCATATGGAGAAAGCAGCCTGAGTGTTTGAATGTGTGTATAAATACTTTACAATTCCCACAAACTTGTTTAAAGACAGGTGGGGGTGAAGATATAAACTGGGGCAGCCTTTTGGGAGGGCAGTCTGGAAGTTGCTATTAAATTTTCAAATGTGCCCACTACTAAGACCCAGCAGTTCCGCTTTTAGTCGTCAGGCGTAAGAACTATAGTCACACGTTTGTGCACAGAGACTCACATGCCCGGTTGCCTGTGCCAGGGTGCTGGCTACTGCACTGCTCCTTACAGTAAAAAACCAGGAATAGCCCATCTCCATCAACAGCGGGACAGACACTAAACAATGGGAAGACCCACACTATGGAAAAAGCTGCAGAGGCAGAAAGGTGTCTCCCATCTTCTGGGAAGTTCTGGAACTCTGGAACTCATGGCCCTCAGCACATGCCCCGCTCCTGGCCTCGCTTCCATCAGCTTCTTTTCCTTCCTCCCTCCTTCCGCCTCCCACGAGAAACAGTTCACTAGAATGAGCTCTTTCATCCTTATGCCTACTAGCCAGTGACCTTCCCTGATGGAAAAAGAGGAAAATGAGAGAGAAGCAGTTATGTGCATAATTACTGTCTGCTGGCTCTTCAATTAAAAAGATTGAAAGGCACAATATTAAAATTTGATTTATGGGCACCACTATCTACCTAATAATGAGGCTGGCAGGAAAAAAAGAACCACAGTCGCTAGAGAAAACCATAGCCTTTTTTTCTCGGCCAAGAGATAAATTGCCTCTCATTGCTAAAGAAATATGAAATGGTTTTAAGCATATGTGATATGTTCTTCCAATACGTTGAAATCCAGAACTTAGTAATTTAGGAGTCCTCTGGCTCCAACGTTTCCAGGAAGCTTCCTGAGAGGCGTAGCGTCTTGAGCTGCAGGGGCTGCTACTGTGGTCCCCGGGGCGCCCAGACCCAGGCACTGGCACCACCGCCTATCACGGAAACTCCCTCCGGGTCCCCAGGCGCCAAGCCAGCTGATGCCACAGAGCCCAGGAGCGAATGGGGAAAGCACAGACTCTAGTTCCAAGTCCTAATTTTGTGGCTTATTAGCTCTTTGATCCTCAGTTTCCTCATCTGTAGCATAGGAACAATACCCTTACTAATTGTGTGTCGCTGGGCAAGTGCCCCAGTTTTCCAATCTTGAAGGTCCCTCCCTGCGAGGGTTGTAGGAAGGATTCAATCAGTGAATGCACGTAAAGTGCTTAGATGGATACCTGCCACATAGCGGGTGTTCGGTAAATATTTTTTAAATCATTATCATTACTACTGCAGATGCCTTTGTCGTAATTTTTGGAAGAGATGGAATTCAAACCCAAGCCTTCCATTTCTAGGGAGCTGGCTGATGAGGGGCAGACAGACGGATGCTCAGCTCTGTCTCTCTCCAGCTGATGTCCGGGGCAAGTCAGGGTACCTCTCTGAGCCCCATTTTGTTCATCTATAAAATACTAGTTTCTAGTTTGCAGGTGGTATTGTCAGGATTAAAGATTATTGGAAACAAAGTGTCCAGGACACAATTAGTGCTGGGTAGATAGATGGCAATAACTCTTGAAAAGGAAAGACCTTTCCTCCTAAGAAACCTGTTTGGGAAATTCTGTCCTGTGGGAGAAGGGGTCTGTGTCTGGTTGGCGTCTTCCCTGCTCACTGGGGCTCTGCAGAACTCTCCCCTCCTGGGGGGCACAAAGTATTCCCTGGCTCTAAAATTAATTGCTACAAAGAAAAAAAAAAGAGCAGCTATTGTGCCGGGAACCCTGATGAGCTTGACCTGCAGGATTGCAGGTCAATCTTTCGGCAGCCTTGGAAGTGGGCTGTCAGCCATGTATCTTCATGGGGAAGATCAGATATGGGGATAGGCGACTGGCCCAAGGACACAAAGCTGGGAGGTGACCAGGCTGAGAGTCCAAGCCAGGACTGTCAAATTCTTTCCACCACACATTCCCGAGGCCCCTCCCAATTCCTAATCACTGACCTCCCCTCCTTTCCTCCATCCTAGCTCCTCTGGCCCACACTACCGCCAGGCAGGCGTGTGGCACCATCACCTCGTGCTTTAAATTTGTATCTTCCCACCAGTGCTTCTTATGCTGGAGAGTCCAATGTCCAAATGCTCACGTTAGCTTGTGCATAAGAGTTTGTTCTGTGTGTCTGAATTCGTGGGTCTTTAATCTATTTAAGATGCTCAGGGTTGGGCTGGAGAAAATGGATTCTAGGTGCTCCCCAGGCCCTTGCCAGCCTCCTTCTGGGAAGGTCTCCATCCCTATGTGGGACCTCCGGGGCTCCCCATCCTACAGAGATTCCATAGACTCTCCCCTTGGGAAGAGGAGGGTGGGATTTTGCATGCATTTCTTTGCACCCAGCTAATGGCACTTCTTTGTTTTCAGTTGAGAGGGAGAATGTGCAGAAGCGGACTTTTACTCGATGGATAAATCTCCATCTGGAGAAGGTAAGCAGGGCACTCGGCTTGTTGTTCAGTGATGGATTCCTCCATAACTGAGTGCACAGTTCAGCAGAGTCGGGGTGAGGGTGCTCTGTGTTTCTGTTGTGGTGTTGTTTTTCGTTCATTCATTTAAACATCTGTTGGGTGCATTCTCATTGCCAAGCGTCAAGCTCAGTGCTGGGAACATGAAGGTAAGTAAGACACGGGGTTCTGACCTCCTGGGGTTATCAGTCTAGCTGGGGAAGGAGAGGGTCCATCTTTAAATAGGAATCGCTGAGCAAAAGTTAGGAAACATTCACTGTTGAACAACCCAAACACAGGGCTGAGGGGATCTCGACCTCTAGTCTGGGGTGGTCAGGGAGGCTCTCGTGAAGACGCGTTTATAGGTATTTGGGTTGATTCAAGCAAAAACTCCTCGCACTTTTTAACCGAGCCAGATTCCCTGGTTCATCACGTACTGCTGCTATTGGTCAACAATATTATCTGCTTGTTTGGGTGCATGGAGCACACATCTCCTTTAATCCTCAAGACAACCCTCCTTACCCTGCACCCCATCCTGTTACGGATGAGGAAACAGAAGCCTGGAGACATTGAATCGCTTCTCTGCAATCCCACGACCGAGAAGAAAGCTCTTGCTGCGGCTTCTCCTGCATGTTGCACTTCGTGACCCCCTCCTCTCCTTTTCCTTTTTCTTTTTCTTGCTAATATACTCTGGCCAAGCAACGTTGAAGCGCATTTTGTCTGCCGGCTTCTCAGGCACACAAACCCTAAAACAAAAGCAGCTGAACCAGACAGAAGGATGAGCAGCAGAGAAGGGGCGGGTTGTGAAATGGATAAACAAACAGCTCGGAGGAGGAGCAATCCGAACCCTCCTCACCACTAGGTTAGCCCCCACCGCCCCCCCCCAACCCCGACAGAGAACATTTTAAATTGCCCGGGGCTGGGGGAGGAGAGATTATTTTTCTTATTATAAGAAAGCTGGTTTATCATGATTCCTTTTACTCACTTCACGTCTTCTTAAATTCCACTCTCTGGTTCTCCAAATAGACCCAGCCAGTAGCCTCATGTCTTTCAAAGCTGGTGGTATTCAAGTACCTCCTTCAGTGAGTTTAATACCTGTATTTTCTTCTCTCCTCTCCTCTTAAAAGGCACGAGAGTAATACCAACTGCCCTTAGAGTTAACCCCAAAGAAAGGTCCTTAGAGGAAATCACCGAAATGATTAGAAAGCAGAGAAAATAAATGTGGTTTTTTAGGAAGTGGAGCTCTTGACCAAAATTTTAATTCACGTAGCGTAAACTTTAGGCCTGTAATATTTCCCGAGCAGACGCTTGACCACCCACACTTCTATTCCCCACCTGTAGAACGGGTCCCGCGCGACCCAGGGAGGCTCCTGAACTCTTCAGGGCAAAGTCTCTCTATATCACGGAGGAAGCGTGATAAATCACTTGCCAGTTATCTTGACTATTGGTGCGTTTTCGGCAGTGCTCACACAGTGAAGTGTTATTTTTGGACAAAAAAAGGAAAACCGTTCCCCAAATCTGAGTTCACTGAACTCCTAAATTAATGCCTGATGTGTATCAGGGTAGCTGGAAATTCCTCCTGGCAGACGGAGTTTAGTGTATTTCTTTCTTTTAAAAATAAATACAGAAAAGTACAGAGGGTAATAGAGCAAATACCCTCGCACTCACTCCCCCCCACCCCCACCCCCAAAGGAACCTCTGTTAGCATTGATTGCATCCAGAATTTTCTCCGTGGCCATGCTTCTGCTTCCTTTTTCGGGGCAGGTGGGTAGCACCCACTCTACAGATAAATCAGATAGCACCTAAAACTGATTCGTAATAAACAGGGCAAAATTCACAGCCATGTTTCCAACCTTGAGACTTTCAAGAACAACTTTTCATGTAAGGGAAACCCAGGAACTCCTTGGGGAAGTGGGCTTAACTGCAGTTTGAAGGCTGTCAGAAATATTTACGGGGTCTCTGGCTTCTGGAAAAATTCCTTAATTTACCCAAGGAGTTAGATCACGAAGAAACCCCTGGCGGTGCTGTTTACTCGGCCATACCAATCTCATGAAGCCCATGGAACGTCTGGGGCCCCGAGGAGTGTTTTCACTGGAGTGGGTTCAATTTCTCCTCCTGCCATCTTGCAGATGGATGCCGGCCAAGGCCCCGCTCGCTGCTGCTGGGCTGAGGCTCTTACAGACACTGTCAATGGAAATTATTCTCCAGGTTCAGCTCAAAAGCAAGGTTTGGCCACGGTCGGGGCTGCTAACTGGAAATTTTGTGAGTTCATCTATCAGGGGCTGTTTTGTTCAGGTCTTGCGTTTCTGCCCCACGTTAACAGGAATAACATTTCCATAAGAGCCTTGGTAACCTGATACCGTCATGCTCCGTGTGGAATGTTCCTGCAGAGCAGTGGGGAGTTTGCAAAGAAAATAATTTGCCTTTGGGTTCAAAGTCGCTGTTGCCCTTGAAGCAAAGCTCTTTTCTGTGCACCTGTGGGTGGAATTGCCCGGTATTTTGACTAACTGGGAGTCAGGGGGCTCATATAAGAGGTAAGGAAATGCCACCTCCTGAAAAAAAGAAAAAAGAAAACATGGGCCCTCCAAGGCTTTCACGGGGAGGAGGCCTTCCCGGAGGAAAGGGTGCCTGGGCCACAGCTCCAAGATTTCCCTGGCTCTCTGACGGGTGACAGTCGCCATTTCTGTCCCCCAATTAATCCGGTCTCCTGTGGGAACACCCCCCTTCGTTGTCCCCAAGAGCAGTAAGTGTTCTAATGCTTCCAAATGCCCCAATACCAGAAAGTAAATAGAATTTATGCTGGGGGGTTAATTAAAAATGCAGATTCCTGGACCCTGTCCCCCAAGATTCAATAAATCCTAACCGTCCTGCATTAAAAGAGTTTTTTATCAAGCTTGTTTAGTCAACAGAAACCTTTCTTTAAGCAAAGTCTTCCTGGAACCCTAAATAAAGGCCAGTAAGAGCTATCGAAGGGAGCGCCGTGAATAAGCCTCCTCTGGGACGCCCCCGCCCCTCCGCCCCCGTAGGGCTCCGTGAAGTGCTCTGCTGAAGCTCTGTTCTGGGAAGCAGAGCTTGGAAATCGCTGTGCTGGGACATCTGCCCGACAAGTTCCAGCCGGCCCCGCGGACCCCAGGCCACACCCAGCCAAACTCTTGGTGGACACAACACAGGTCCCGCAGACCTCCCCAGGTCAGAGATGAAAGCAGGGGGCTTCTGACTTTTTCCACCCAGCTCCCCAGCGCACCCACTGCCCACGGGCCATCTCCAGGGAGAGGGGATCGCTCCCTCCTTGGATGGGCCCTGCTGCCCGTAGGCACATCTGGATGTCCGGAAGTTTTTTCTCCAGTGAAAGCTGCAGTTCTGAAATTGTTCTGTGGCTTACACAGATCACTAATCGCCTACTTTCTTTCCCCCTCTTCCGCAGTGTAACCCACCTCTAGAAGTTAAAGATTTATTCGTTGATATACAAGATGGCAAAATCCTAATGGCTTTGTTAGAAGTCCTGTCTGGGCGAAATCTGGTACGTATGCTCCAGAAGGGTTAGGAAGAAGTAAAAAAAAAGGGAAACATTGCCAAAGGGTTCTTTTCTCTACAGGTCTATGTGTATGTACATATGTACCTGGCCATCCATAAGTCCTGTGACGGGAAACCTGGGAGGCTGACATTCCTTTCTCGGTGCCTAAGACTGGTACAGTCATGTGTAACTAAGCAAATATACTTTAGCAAGTAAATAAATAAATGCCCCATGTTTTCTGTGAGTCCAAAGCTAAGGATCATGACTGAATCATGACAGTTTAGCTGGCCAGCCATGAAATTACCTAGAATGAGAGCTAAGAGTCAGGAAGATGAAGAAGAAAGGCATCTTATCAGCCAAAATCTATAATCCACCAACTAGATACACAGAATTCTAGAACCTTCTTGTGAGTATGACCAAAATTGAATGGAACCAGCTGATCTTGGGGTTCCTTCCACTTTGGATCTTCACCAGCGCTCTCCACGTTGCCTGAATCTGCTGTGTGTGGGTCGGTCCTCTCTCCCCAGGTCACAGAGCAGGGTTTAACAGCTTCCACACTGTTGGCGTCTTGGCTGGGGTAGTTTTTCGTCATGGGGGCGCTGACCTGGGCATTGCAGGATGTGTAACAGCAAAAGCATCCTTGGGTCTCTATCCACTGGATGTCAGTAGTACCCCCAGGTTTGACAACCAAAAATGTCCCCAGGCACTGCCAGAGGTTCCTTGAGGGGGCACAGTGATCTGGTCAGAATACCAGTGGTGTCAATTTTGAGAAAACGGCTCTAGAGTTCAGTGTCTGATTTGGCTCAAGTGACCCAGCGTGGCTGATACAAAAGTGCCGTGATGGGGTATAGCTCAGCCCGTGTGGACCTCTCTGGATTTGTTCCTTTTTTTTTTTTTTTAATAAATTTATTTATTTTATTTTTGGCTGCATTGGGTCTTCGTTGCTGCGTGGTGCGCGGGCCTTTCGTTGTGGTGGCTTCTCTTGTTGCGGAGCACGGGCTCAGTTGCTCCGCGACATGTGGCATCTTCCCGGACCAGGACCTGAACCGTGTCCCCTGCATTGGCAGGCAGATTCTTAACCACTGCGCCACCCGGGAAGCCCATCTGGATTTGTTCTTAACTGTAGCTTTAAAGTCGAGAGCCCCTGCTTCTGTTCTCAGATCTAATGTGGCTGGAGTCTTATCACACCGCTTCCTTGCCTTTGCTTTCCCAATAGCCTCCCCACCCCGCCGCAAGGGGGCTGTGCAAAGTGATGGCTGTGAATTCTAATGAAGGGCAAAGCCACTGCAGTAAAAGGAGTACAGTAAGTCCCCTACATATGAATGAGTTCCATTCCGAGAGTGTGTGTGTAAGTCCAATTTGTTCATAAGTCCCACAAAGTTAGCCTAGGTACCCATCTAACACAATGGGCTATATACCACTGCTTTTATACTTGCTTCCGGACATCCTGGGCTTGAAATAAAGATACTGTACTACTGTGCTCTATACAGTAGTGTACGGTAAAGTACACAAAAGCACAACCACTTGAAGAGGATGCACACACGTGGCAATGTATGCCAGACACGTGAACTAACTTACGTGATTGGACATGCAAACGCACATTTGCATCTTTGAAAGTTCACAACTTGAAGGTTCGTGTGCAGGGGACTTACTGTATTTGGTTTCTTTGCACATCTCACAATGGGCTGCCAGCATAGTCTCCAACAGGCTTCCTGAAAAAGCGCGTTCTAGCTTCTGTGTTCCCAGCAGCCCAGGCTCTCACTTTGCTGCCAGGGCACTGGTCAGGAGCTACCGTGTCCTTGCGGGGCCTCTGTTGGGAGTCTTTGATCCTGGAGCCCAGCCAAGAACATCCAAGACCTCACCCATTAGCTTGCCTGGCAGTTCACACCGTGTGGAAGTGATACCCACTGGCTTGCCTTATAGTGTAAAGCACCCACCTGGAGGAGTGGGGACAGACTTCAGTTTCAGGATGAGTTTCCTCTGCTGATGCTCCCAGTGGGTACGACTAGCGTTGTCAGAGTTTTTGCTTCTGCAAACAGCTTTCTCTCTCTCTCTCTCTCCTCTCTCTCTCTCTCTCTCTCTCTCCTGTCTCTCTCTCTCTCCTCTCTCTCTCTGTCTCTCTCTCTGTCTCTCTATGTTTCTCTGTGTCTCTCTGTGTCTGTCTCTTTCTCTGTCTCTCTGTGTTTCTGTCTCCATCTGTCTGTCTCTCTCTCTCTCTCTCTCTGACCTGGGATAAATGTCCACAAAGCTCTTGGCCAGAAAACAGAAACATCTGCGGCCGCCAGGGAGGGCTTACCGGATGATTTAGCAGCTGTGGGTGACACTCCCGGCTGACACTTTCTGCCCTGACGAAAAGCATCAGTGCAGTGAGAACATGTCACCGACAGTCTCTGGAGGAGGGAGGAGTATCAAAAGCCAGGAGCTGGGTCAGAGAGAAACATTTGACAACTCTGTCCCTTGTTTAACCCCTGGATTCCCCTCCTTCACCAACTTGAGTGAGTTTGGTCCCAGGAACCATCAACAAGGTGACCGTCGGGGGCCCCTGAGGGTACGGTTGTGTATCCTGGGGCCCCGTGCCCGGGTTTGGATGTGGTCCATGTGGGCTCTGCTATGAGCCCCAACCTTCTCTTGAGACTAATGTGAAAAAGGTAAAGAAAAAGACAAGCACATCCAACGGCACCGCTGGGGACTGAGTGCCTGTCTTGGCTTAACTGCTTGTTTTGTTCTGGTTTGTGTTACAGCTGCACGAATACAAATCCTCATCCCATCGTATTTTTCGGTTGAACAACATAGCGAAAGCACTTAAGTTTTTGGAAGATAGCAATGTAAGTATTTGAAACACATCTTGTTAACACAGACTTCCCTGTGACAAAAAGGACATAATTTGAAGTTTAATGCTGGTCACAAGAGATGCGGGCAAAGGGGACCCTGCTGAGCTGGTCGAATGAAACTAAGTTGAAATGTAACAGAACTCCCACAGCTAATCCATCAGCCGGAGATACAGTCCCCGACTCCCTGCCCGCCCCTCCATCTCCATCAGGCTCTCAGATGTTCAGAATTTAGTTGACATTTTCTTTTCCATTTTGGGGGATAAGAGCATGTCAGCATGTAAAACTTTTTCTTAGAACTCAGAATATGGGAGAAGCAAGGAGGAAAAGGGGGCTAAATGAGCCGGGGGAAAATTACATAATTCTGTCCCCTTTGATATAACTTTCTCGACTTAAATTAGCCTTTTCTGTGTTTTGAACTCTGCTTCATGTCCTTCAAAACTGGGAAGGAATGGCCCTAGAGGGATGAAATTTCCAAAGTTCCCCTTTCATTAAGTTTCACCAATTAATGACCACGTGGGTCCCTGCATTGGGAGGGGGAGGGGCCGTGCAGTGGTGCTGGCACTTAGCAGCCCCGGGTTTCATCCCAGCCCTGATTCCCCAGTCTTCCAAGTCATTCTGTGACCCCTTGGTATCCTTTCAACACATTCCTTTTCTGCTTAAATCAGCCCAGATCAGATCCTGTTGTGTACCATCAGGAACCCCAAACAAATTGCACTTTGTGATGTTGTTCTACTATACATGCCGATGTGTCGGGCAAGCTGAGGGGTTCTTACTGCACTGTCCCCCTGCCTCCAGCACAGCCCCTGGAAGGAACTCTCAGTGTCACTCATTCAGATTCTAAGGCCTGGGCTGTTAAGCCTGGATCCCCATCCATGTCCTGGCTGCCAAGGGCACCTTTGGCTTTTGAAGAGGGAGGTGTACTCTGCCTCCCATACTGTGGGGAAAGCCCCAGACCTAGGAGGGAGTTCAGGTGGTGATGGCCAAAAAGCACAGCTCTGATCATAGCAGCATCATTCCTAATAGCCAAAAGGCGGGAGCAACCCAGATGCCCATCCATGGACAAAGGGATGAACAAAATGTGGTCTATCCTTGCAATGGAATATTATTCTGCCATGAAAAAGAATGAAGTGCTGATACAAGCTACAGTGTGGATGAACCTTGAAAGCATTATGAAAGATGCCAGACAAAAAGGACCACTTCTTCTATGAATCGATTCCTATGAAACGTCCAGTAGGGAAATCTCTCGCGTCAGAAAAGAGATGGGTGGTTGCTCAGGGTTGAGAGAGGTTGGGGGATTAGACAAGTGACAGTTAAAGGGTATAGGATTTCTTTTTGAGGTGATGAAAATGCTCTAAAATTACGGTGATGCCAAAAGACCATGGAATTGTATATTTTAAATGGGTGAATTGGATGGGATGTGAATTGTATCTCTCAATAAAGCTGCCTTTAAAAAAGCATGTCCCGTTTTGTGAAAACGCTGGCCTCTCTGCAGAGTCAGTTTCGCCATCCGCCTCGGTGCTGACGGCGCGTTCAGGGCACCGCTGCCACGGCTTCCACTCCTGGAAAATGATGTAGACGCCTTGAGCCTCCGTTTCCACGTCTGTTAAACAGAGGTGATGAGAGCCACACCTACTTCAGAGAGTTGTTGGGGATGGAATGTGCCCGTCCAGGTGGCGTTTAGCCAAGTGCGGGCACAGGGTGAGGGCTGCGTTCGTTAGCTGTGGCTCTTGCTACCTCTCCCCAGCTCCACAGCTTCACTGTCTGCTCCTGGAAGGGAGCGTTAGGCGTGGCCCTCCTGGGCAGTGTCCAGCCCTGAATTCCGAAAAGCGTTGTTTTTAGGATAACGTGGGGCCTTGGGACCACTGCCCGGGATACTCACTGTTCTTCCTTCCAGCTTGTGAACCCCTAAGTAATTTCCTGCTCTGCCAGCTGCCACGTGTTGATGGGCCTGTACTGTAGGCAGAACTCTCCCCCTGCGTTTACAAAGTGTCTTCTGTGGGCCCAGGGCTGTGCTCAGCCTTGGGGACATAAAGCTGCATTAGGAGCACATCTCCGCTTCAAGGAGCTTAGAGCCTCGCAGAAGAGGCCTCACGCGGACAGCAGGCTGCTCATCACTGCAGGGGCCCAGGGAGGAGCAGTGATCCTGCAGAAGTGAAAAAACAAACAGCCTGGGAGCCTGCTGGGGGGCATTGCAGGTAGGACTAGCCCACGCTCAGGGGTGGCAGGCCTGGCCTTCCGTAATCCGTCCCTAAATGTTTCCCCAACTGCAGTAGCTGCCTTATGGTACAAAAGAAAGAACAGCAAAGCTCCCTTCTCCTTTATTTTTTATTTAAAAATCTGGAAATATGCCCAGTGTGTTTGTGCTCTGTCAGCTTTTTGCCCTGCTGGCTCCTGTGGCCGGCAGGTGAATGGCCCCCTGGGGAGAAGAGCACGGGGACGAGGCGCGTGGAAACAGGCATCTTGGTTGCAGTCTCCTTCCCATTGCCAGAAGCCACAGAGCGCCCCTGGGCCCTTGTTGGCCCCTTCCTGTCCCACTGTCCCAGCTCGAGGGAGGACAGGCCACAGTGGCTCTCCTGGGCCAAAAAAGGGCCCAGAACTGGGTGATCAATGCCAGCGGGTGCTGGAGGGGCAGCAGTCAGGTCCCATGTGCCCCGGGATTCAGGTGCTATTAGTGTGGCCAGCCTCTGTCCCTCCCTCTCTCCCCCGAAACTGTGAGGCTCAGAGCATGGTGTTCACTCCTGTGTCAGAGACCCGCTGCCCCACAGGACCAGCTCTGTGACCTCCGGCAGGTCATTCAACCTCTCTGAGCCTCAACTTGCACATCTGTGCAATGGGTATAGTATGACTAACCCATGAGAACCACTGGGCAGAAGTCAGCTCTCCCCCGGGAGGGCATTACCGTGATGACCATTATCACTGCCCCACGATGGATGTGCCAGCCAGAGGGGGAGAAGGAATATTCCCAGAAGCCAGTTGGTCCATTTATTGTCAGTGTGGCGAAAACAACCAAGTTAGCGGGAAGAGGGGGAGGAGGACATTGTCCCTGAAGCTTCTGACTGATGTCCGGCTGCTACGTCGTCTGTTTGCCAGGGAGAACCAAGCAGTGGCTGGGCACCCGAGGCAAGGTCTTCAGGAATATCCATAATCCCCGCCTTCCCTCAGCCAGGCTCCCCAGTCCCTGTGGCCAGGAGAGCGCTTTATTCTCCAAAGGTGACCGCTGCTCCCTGCCCCACTTCCCTCCCTGTCCCAAGAGGGTGCACCCTCCTATTCCCCACATCCCTACAAGGCAGCTCTGTGATTTCTCACTTTGGGACACTTTCCATGAACCTCAGCTCAGAGGCCATGCTGGGCTTCCTCCAGGGGATAGCAAAGGCCAGGATTGACTAAGTGCTTTGATGTGACTCCCCTGCGCTGGGATGTGATCAGTGAGCCACAAAAACGGAGGGAGCTGCCAGAGCAGAGGTCCAGGGTATGCGATCAGCCACAGACCGCATGTGATTCACCCCATGGGACATGTGGCCATGATGGATTTGGACGGACTCTTGGGCCTGAATTTGATTGGCTTTGTTGTTCACAATATTGACAACTTCCTTCAGCCTCTAACCCGCCAGCGATGAGCTTGTGCTCCCTGGATTATTCCCTGGGCAGCAACCTGCAAAACACACCTGAGCCAGGGGCTCAGGATTCTCACCTGTGATTAGGAAAGCCCAGGCCCTACTGATGGGTGTGGTTAGAAACCCCTGATGAACTGGTAGGATCAGAGACCCATCTTTTTTTAAAGCCCCAAAGGAAAGAGAGAAAGAAGTGTTTGTGTGAGACGCTCTCTTTGTGTTTTCTTTCCTGAGTCTCCTGAGCAGAACTTTATAAATCAAATTTGAATTTGAAAGTTAACCTTGGGACTTCCCTGGTGGCGCAGTGGTTAAGAATCCTCCTGCCAATGCAGGGGACATGGGTTCGAGCCCTGGTCCAGGAAGGCCCCACATGCCATGGAGCAACTAAGCCCGTCCGCCACGACTACTGAGCCTCTGCTCTAGAGCCCACGAGCCACAGCTACTGAGCCCATGCTTCGCAACTACTGAAGCCCGTGTGCCTAAAGCCCATGCTCCGCAACAAGAGAAGCCCCCACAGTGAGAAGCCCGGTACGGCAACGAAGCGTAGCCCCGCTCGCTGCAACTAGAGAAAGCCTGCGTGCAGCAACGAAGACCTAACGCAGCCAAAAAAAGAAAAGAAAAAGTTTACTTTGATTTACTTGATTTCTTCTCTCCTCCCCCTGAAGAATGGAGTTTACATTTGCAAAAGGTGGTAAAGAATGAAGAGGCGGAAAATGTGACACAGATGGATGTGGCCTGCAGTCTTCAATATTTACTCTCTGGCTCTTTACAGAAGTTTGCAGACCCCTGATCTACATACTCAGGTTTTGTTTGCAGAGTAAAATGATGATTTAGGGCAGGGGTCCTGAAACCCAAGCGTGTAGCAGAATCACCTGGAGATCTGGTTAAAATGCAGATTGTGGGGCTTCCCTGGTGGCGCAGTGGTTGAGAGTCCGCCTGCCGATGCAGGGGACGCGGGTTCGTTCCCCGGTCCGGAAAGATCCCACATGCCGCGGGGCGGCTGGGCCCGTGAGCCATGGCCGCTGAGCCTGCGCATCCGGAGCCCGTGCTCCGCAACGGGAGAGGTCGCAGCAGTGGGAGGCACTAGACTCGATTGAATCAGATCACATAGAATATTTAAAAAGTAGATTGTGGCCCCTCCCAGGGTTTCTGATTCAGTTGGTCTGCGGGAGAATTTGCCTTTCTAAGGAGTTCCCGGGTGACAACGTGCTGCTGGTCCAGGGACCACACTTTGAAAACCAGTGCCTCAGGCATGCACCAAGGGCAATCATCCTGCGGTCAGAACATAGTTAAATAAATAACGTAATCTCTTAAGGGTTTCTCAAATATGCCCATTTGAACCAGTCAGTAGGGTATTTTGTTGCGGAATGTTGCAGAAAGATGCAGAAACGCTGGGTAGCAGCCTTATCCCCACACACTATTTCTACTTAGTAATGGATAATTGTCTTAGCTGTCGTGTTCCTTGATCGCTGATGTCAGTGCTCTGTGTTTGTCCAAAGACGTGTTAAATCTGGAGGTTTGGTGGTGTTAGTGTAGTACACAGACCGCCCTTGGGCATTTACCATCTGTTCTTGGAAAAGGATGACTTTCTTACTAGTTGTGTGTCCTGGGCACGTTACATTGACTGCTCTGGTATTTCTTTACCGGAAATATAGAAATAATAGAAGAATCTGTGATGTGGGGTTGTTGTGAGGATGAATACTTGTAAGGAGCTTAGAATAGTGTCTGCGCATGTTAAGTATTATTGCACGTGTTTATTAGACACACTTTTGCATGTTGGGGTCCCTGAGAGGTGGTCTGGGGCAGCACCGAACAGCACAGGCGAGAAAGAGAAACAGGCCCACGATGACAACATCAGAACATGTTGCCTCCTGTTTGGACACTCCTGTTAAGCTTATAAATTGCTTCTCTTCAGGTAAAACTGGTTAGCATCGACGCGGCAGAAATAGCAGATGGCAACCCCTCTTTGGTTCTTGGGCTGATTTGGAACATCATCCTCTTCCTCCAGGTAAAATCATTTCTTTCCTATAACACACGGTAATGATCTCCAGCAACACAGGAGTGGAGCTGGATGGAGGGAGACCGTGAGATTTCGTTTCTAACAGATTTCGACTTTTCTGTTTCCTGGGAAAGAACTAGAAGAACCTGGTTGCTAAAGGTTTTCAATTGCTGTGATTCTAAAAGTGATGTGAGCTCTGTTCTCCTCTTGGTACTTGAAGAGTTACATATTTACTTCGAAAAGTAATTTTGTTCTAAAGTGTCACAAGAGCTGGGGAATACTTCCAACCAAAAATTGAACTTGGTAGAGTTACTTTCCTAAAATGACTTGTGTTCATCAGAGACGGTTAAAGAGGCTGTACAAAGATAGCTCTAGGAAGAGGTGTGTGTGTGACAGGAAAGACCTTGTTTTTCCATCCTTAGCACCCTCAGCCTCTATCTGGAAATGCAGATTTTATAGAGCAAGGACAGGGTCTGTGGCTGGAGTATGAAGGGGATATTTCAAATTGTGCTCAAGTTCTTTTCCCTGAGTGGGAGGGAGTGAGCTGATGTTTTATCTTCTAAAATCCCCCTCTTTTGAAATAGAAGATAATGGCTCGTTGCTTAATGGGTCTCCCAAGCGTAAAAATGATCTGCACAGAGGCTCATGCTTACATTTCAGAGAAGAATGAGCTCAAACAAGGCTTGGAGACAATAGCCCTGAACTTATAAAACCAAAGGCTCCCTCTGAGCCTCAGTTTCCACATCTGTGAAATGGTAGCAGTGGTCCAAATATGTGGTGAGCATCGAGAGATGCTACGTGGGAAAGCCCTTTGTCAATTGTACAGTGTCATATACAGGCTTCAGTTACTGATGTTTGTTCTTCAACTCCCTGATAGACTGGAAACGTCCTGAAATGTGTAAAAAGTCCTTAACTCCACTCTGGATCGTCATTCATTGATTTGGTAAATGTCTAGTGAGCTTCTCCCATGTGCCAGGCTCTGAGCATACAAAGTCTTGCTCTCATGACTTTCTGGTATCTCAGACAGGTCAGTCCCATATTATAGAATTCTGTGGTGCAGTCCATGATCAGCATATGAGCAGAGTGTTGTAAAAGCTCCACTGGGGCAAC